ATGGGCACTGATATGCAGCACTGATAGGCACTGCTGGGCATTGATGAGATGGCACAGATAGGCAGCACTGATGGGCATTGATAAGCTGCACTGATGAGGCGGCACTGGTGGGCATTGATGAGGAGGCACTGATGATGCTTCACTGATATGCAGCAATGATGGGCACTGATAGGCAACTGGTTGTATTGACTGACAGCACTGATGGGCAGAGATGAGCGCAACTGCTAGGTGGCAATGATGGGTGGCTCTGGGTACTGATGGGTGACACTGGTGGGTGGAACTGCTGAGCACTGGTGGGTGGCACTGCTGGGCACTGATCACCAGTGCCCTGATGATCAGTACCCATCTGCTCTGTGACAGTTGGCGGTTATTGGCAGTACTTTCCTCAGTGTGACAGCGTGAGGAAAGTGCTGCCAATAGACGGCAACAGTATTTACTTGGTGATCTGCTGTGTCATTGGACACAGCTGATCACGTGGTAAAAGGCCACTGTGATTGGCCTTTTACCTCATCACTTGATCAGCTCATTTACCTCATCACGGATATCTCCGTGTGTGTGGGAGGGCACATTCTGGGAGGACATCATATCACGCCCTCGCAGAACTGGACAACCACACTGTAGCTGTCATTCAGCTATAGCGTGGTTGGCAAGTGGTTAAGCATCACCCCTCCAATAAGAAAACAACATACATAGATGAAAACCTAACATATTTATATATACCCCAATAGGGGGCATATTCCATATGAACTATATAAGTATGTCACATAATAGAGACCTCTCCTCTATATAAATATCCAAAGGTAGACCACTTCTTGTGGCTAAATGACCACTCAGAGTCCATGGTGGATTCTTGTGGTGAATCTATTTTAGAACCAACCCACATGTGGGCAGTGTAGAACCAGAATTAACTATTGCAAATATATCAGAAATTGCTGGAAGACTCCCAGGGAAAGGTGTCACATTCATGTATTTACCTCAAAGCATGCCATGTTGTCAATTAAATCCTTGTAGGAAAGTTCTTCAAACTGTGTGAAGTATAATCTATAATTGATAATGGGGGAGCCACCAGCCTGATGGCACATTGGAAGACTCCCAGGGAGAAGTGCCCATGTTATTATATGTATCCTGATTTATAGCTTGTAGCCTAGCACCTTAAATCATCCCCTGTTGGCAAATGAATCTTAATAGAGAAGTTCCTCCAATTATATGAAGCATAGCTAGTGAATGCCTATTAAGGGAGGCGCCAGCTTAATCCATGTGAGTTCCAAGCCATAGAATGCTCAAATAAATTGATACTCAGCCATCAAAGTGGGTCTTAGGACATCACTCTTCACTCTTAGGAAGCAGCTCCCTATGGGTCGATGCCGCGCTGCCTGCATCCATAGACACAGACAGCATGGCTTAGCCCTGCTATCTCATCACAAGATTTGACTGATAGCAGGCGGAGCCAATGGCTCTTACTACTGCCGCTGTCCTGAGAGAGAGAGTTGGAGCTCTTGGGCACAGCGCTAGATTGAAATGGGGCTAGTGTAAGGGGGTTCTAATAACAAAACTTTTTTTTACCTTGATGCAGAAAATGCATTAATGGCCAGTTCACATCACAAAACCGCACTCCAGATGTGTTCCAAATGCTTTTTTGCTTACAGCTCATACCACATTCCCATGACGGATTTTGATGTGTTCCAATACAGATCTGTGCAGAAAAAATGCAGCATGTTCTACTTTTTGTTCTGCAATGGAACTCACTGGAACTGACTGCACTGGTGTGAACTAGGACAATTGGAATATATGGAAATTGCATGCATGTTTGATGCAGAATAAAAGCACTGGACTGCATCTTGAGTGAACCAGCCCTCAGATAACATAAAATCTTATACCTTTATAACCACTTTAATACTTTTCTCCATAGTTCTTCATAAACCAAGACTTTTTATCAGTCTTCCTTTACCAGTGCTTACTTACATTTAGATAATGAAGAGTCATTTTGTAAATTGAGTAAATGTGTAATCCTGAGCCTGTGGTGTGATGACAGGTTTGAAATCCATGGAAAGATGGAGCAGAACAAGAATGAGAAGCCTGTTGTCAGGGCATCATGCATATAGGAGTGGAGTGGGGTCAGTAAGCGGCCATCTTGATGTCAGTAGTGGAGGTGAGGAGGCAGAGAGATGCCTATGTTTGATATGCGCTGTACAAAGCACTGTGTGCACTGACTCGTGAGTTATTTTAAATATTGAATACATGTTTTTTTCTGTACGGAGAGCACTATCCGTCCCTATTCTTCTTTTCATGAATGAAATAGCACTTCTTGTGTGAGTGGAGGAGCCGTGTAACAGTGAGAGCCATCTATGGTGGAGTGAATCTGGAGCCATCCTGTTTGCAGACCGTGAAGGGGGCACAAATGCATGTGACCCTTGACTAACCACCAGGGTCTACTCTGGAGTGTTTTTTACATGTTCTGCAAACAAATGCATTCTCGTTTTTTTTCTTTGGCAACAGTATTTGATTACACTGTTCAACAAATTTTTATTTTTTGCCAGTTTTGGAAACAAAAGGATCCATTTCTTAATGAATTTCACATTCTGAGTTCAAATATAACAATGAAATTTTGTCAATTGGCTCTAGTTTTTTTTCTGTAAACGGAAAGTTTTTCTACTATAGGCGTAATGACTACATAATGCACAATTTATATATATAGATAGATGTCTTTCCACAAATATAAAGCAAGTGATATTGACTACATAACAAAGCCTAAATGGCATAATATATTGCATAGGATTACCAAGAAAAATTATAGCCATAAGCTACGTTGAATCATTTTAATACTTAGGATTCTCACTAGTTTTGTCTTCAGTTTGTGTCGGTTTTGCTTCTCTTGGCTTTTTCTTGGCTTTTCTCTTGTATTCGAGGAAAGGGCTATCTCTTACAACTGTCCAGCAATAGTCAGCAAGCATTGATGGGCTCCATTTACCTTGATATCTTCTTTCCATAGCTGCAATGTCTTGATGGAAGTGCTCTCCGTGTTCATCACTCACTGCTCCACAGTTTGGTGGGAAAAAATCCAGATGCAAATGTAGAAAATGAATTTTTAGAGACATGTTGCAGTGCCCCAGATTTCTGTAAGTCTGGATGGATGAGTTTTTCTACCACTTTTTTGTAGTCTGGTGTTTTTTTTCCATTCAACCATTGCTCCAGTGCCGTCCCACAAGAATTGCAGCATATATGTGGTGCCCAGCTCTTGTCCTGGTCTCCTATTTCTTGCATCCAAAATACAAGTTGTAGGCTTTCTTAATCATTCCTGTTATCCTCCTTTTTTGTGAGATAAAAGTTATTTCACCGCAGCAGATATAGCAGAAATTATCTGCTTTATTCACACAAGTTCGAGGCATTACTGAGTAGCCTATATAAGCATAAAACGAAATGTAAAGACGCTGTCGAACTACAATCAGCTACAGATACTGCAGCTTTTATGCAGTGAAGTGATGCAATTAAAGGCTAATCTTGCATCATCTCAGTATACATGCAATTTTCTATTGGTCACCAGTATCAATTGCGCAATATGCAGCTGAAGTTGCATCATAATTTTGAATGGCTTACGTCATTAGATGGGTGAATATATCATGGAAACTAGAGCCAATCAACATTTTTTAGGGTCATTTTCAGCACCCCAAAATTATGTAAGATTAGCTAATTTTATGCCCAAAACTTTTTACCTGTTGAACAGTGTTATGCTTTATCCGCTCTAGTTTCTGGTGGTAGTGTGCACAGAAGATTTGCACTTTTAGGACTAGCACAACCAAGTTTGAAACAAATTTGATTGGCCTGTCTCTATGTTCATCATTTTATAACATTGTATATGGACTGCTTCTTGCTTCCTATTATTTATTTTTTATTTTACATATTTAATAATTTTACATATTTAATTTTCTGAATTATGCAGATTTGGTTATTTATTTTACACTTCACACTTCAGTCACTATATAGGGTGTATTACTCATGCATAGGCTGTAATTTTGACTCACAAAGTTATATACATTTTGTCACAGGTATATATTTATATTTGAATTTTATTTCTTTTAGCTCTGCACTGTCATTATACTTCCTTTACCACTGCTTACTTGCATTTAGATAATGAAGAGTCATTTTGTAAATAGAGTAAATGTGTAATCCTGAGCCTGTAATGTGACGACAGGTTTGAAATCCATGAAACGATGGAGCAGAACAAGAATTTACTCATGTTTTCTTGTTAAAAAAAGACAGGCTAAAAGAGTTTTTGTTCAATGATCTCCAGGATGCTGCTGTTCTGGGGATGGAATGCAAAAGTTGAATTCAACACAATAAGCATTTCAATCAGCTGCCACAGTGATTCTGAGCAACGATTGCATGTGAAAAAGATACAGTCTCCTCCTGGCTTGAGGTCAGGGAAAAGACCAAACAGTAACAAACAGGCTTACTAGAAGATGTTCTCTGTTGAGCAAACATGTACTAGCAAGGCAATTCCCTGACTCATAGCATAAATGCATGGATGGCGGAGCATGATGGAACTTGCAGTTGGGTGGGCAGCAGTGGGTTGAACTGCTAACCAGCGTGTCTGCTGTCAGTGGGAGCCTGCTGCTGAGTGAAAAGACTGACTGCTGACAGAATACTAAGCCCTCATGCACACTGGGTGTTTTGATAACGCTGGTAACGTTAGTTTTGTAAACTCATATTAACCACTTCCCGACCGGCTGTTGCATATAAACGGCCGGACGATGGCAGTGCAGGGTCGGGTGGCCATTTATAAACGGCCTCCCCGCACCCTGCATGTGCGCGCTCCCTCGGAGCGCGCAGCACCGCGATCCGGTGCCCGCTGTGTCCTCCGGACACAGTGAAACACCGATCGTCGGACGGGACCTCTGTACGAGGTCCCGATCATGTGATCACTGATTGGCCAATCAGTGATCACATGCAAAGCAGTAAGCAAGATGCCACTTGTGACATCATTGCTTACTACGTGTGAAATGTGTGAATGATCACAGAGGTCACATGGTACAAGGCTATTCACAACAGCCTTGTACCATGTGACAAGCTGTGACCAATCACAGCTCACACAGTACTTCTCAATGAGTGCAAGAATGCACACAGAGAGAAAGAGAAATGATTGCTTTTACATCCTATATGGGTGTAAAAGCAATCAGTGTAAAAAAAAAAAAAAAATCTTCATCACCCCCCACAAGTAGTACAGTGTCACCATTACACCATACAGCGCTGCTGGACACTGATAGAAGTCACAAGACTGCTCTAACTGCTGATGAGAAAGGGTATTTAGCAGTTTATAGTTACTAAAATAATTGCATTTCCATGTTCTGTGTACTGTGGGAGACCAGATATAGTGAATGCAGGGTCCTGGGTTTAGCAACACTTTAAGATAGTGCTGCTGCTCTGTGAAAAGGCTTACTGCTGCTAGAACATTCACATGGTATATGTGCTGCCTGTTAGTTTTGGTAGACCCATTAGGGGACATCCTGTTCTCCAGGAACTGACCTTTGGCTAGTAGCTTGGATGAGCAGATGTTATGTTGATTTTGGGTTTGAATGCTAAGGAATATAAATCTGGATTTTACAGCTGATGTTACAAAGCATATAGGGCAGTCTTTGGGTTTGTAGCTCCCCAAAAGCTTCACACACCACTTGTTCATGTCTGCTCTAGGATTTCCATTTTCTGCAATGGATATCAATAGGATTGCCCATTCCAATTGTCTGTTTTGCCCAGTTTTTTTTTTTTTAATTGTGAATTTGGGGGGGAAAAAAATCATTATTTTATTCTTTCATCTTGTGCCATAGTGACACGTAGCCTAAGCTCTCTGACCAAATATGCTACCTTCTATATTGATACTGGCTCGGTCTTACACCAGCTTCATCTGTGGATCACATACATGATGGAGTTCCATACACACCGGTTATATTTGTCACTGTGGATATTTGCAGCAGATCTGTTTTGAAGTGCAATGGGAGGTAGGAGAATATTGAAGCACCCAGTGAATTTGTGTCTCCCAAGAGTATTTACATCGATGAGTGGATGATAATTGAAGCATCTCACCATAAATTAACAACTTTGCGCCAGCGCCTCCTGGTCCTTTAAGAGTTTCAGAAGCCGGGAGGCTGGCAGGATTTTAGGGTCAAGTGACCGCTGTGATTTGCCGTTACGGCGGTCACATGATCGGAAAATGTCCCGATTGAAATAGGAGATCAGCACCTTTCCATGAGTCATGGACATATGTGCTGGGAGCGCGCAGGGCACGCGCTCTCAGCACATATGTATTTTCTAGTTGCACGCAAATATGCGGCCGCTCGGCGTCAAGACACAGACGCCGAGAGGCCGCATATTTGTGTGCACTTGGCATCAAGTGGTTAAAGGAGAAATACAGCCAAAGCTCTTTTGGTTGTGTATTTCTCCTGTGGATCACAGGAGTGCAGTTCGTTCTGCACTCCTGTGACCTGTTTTCAGCAGACAGCGGGCTGAAGCCAGTCCAGGCTGGGGAAAGATCCTGAACAGGGGCGGACTGACCATTTGGAAACTCGGGCACTGCCCGAGGGCCCGGGGTCAGTAGGGGGCCCCATGAGATGCCCCTGGTACCTTTTTCATAGGCTTTTTTGAGTTTGGGCAAGCACAGGGGCCCCATGATCCCCTATTGCCCGGGTGCCCCATGAGTTGTCAGTCCACCCCTGATCCCGAATTCAGGCGCTAAGAGCCTGAGCCAGCAGCTCCCTACCCCTCCACAGCCCAGTGCTCCAGTGAGTGGCTGTGAGAACTCAGCGATCAGTGGTCACGTGATCTCTAAATTCTCACACTTAGACCCAACAGGGGACACATGAAGCATCGGATCAATACTGCATCCACCTAGGTAAGTATAACTGGGGGAGAAAAACAAACCCCATACTTCTCTTTTAAGTGAATTAAGTGAGACTCAATACAAAGGTATGATAACTGTATCTGAAAGGGCAATGTATCTAGCTCTTATAGAAAAGGGGAGAAAAAACTAAATAGTTTAATTTTTTTTTTTGTTGAGCCTTGGATAGTGGAAGTGAGGAGAAATCCTCATTTAGGGCTGGTTCACACTATAGAAATGCAGTCCAGATGAATTTCGTATGCATTTCTGCATGTGCGTTAATTTTTTCCCCTCTATTTTTTTTTTTGGCACATTCCAGTGCATTTTTGATGCGTTTCCAGTGCGTTTTTTATGCTTTCTGCCTGTTACTTTTTTTTTTTGGAACGCACTGGAACCCTCTATTGACAACCTTTTTTTCTGTGCACTTTTTAAATAGAGACGTGCATTTCAGTGCGTTTTTGGTGCGTTCCGGTGTGCTCTTTTTGATGGTAAGAGGAAACTGTTTTAACACGTTCAGTAGAGGTACATGTTCCTGCGCACCTGGGAAAAATGCCTGTTCTACAGTTTTTTTTTTCTTTGCAACTGGAACGCTGACTGGAACTGCAAGCACTGATGTGAACTATGACATATGATCTTCAACCTTGTAACCTATTTTCTGTGCACTTTTGGATGTAGAAGAGGAAAAAAAAGCAACTGAAACGCATGTAGTGTGAACTTCCAGAATGCTCAGCACTCTGCATAGAAGTCTATAGGCTTGCTTGGCTTTAGCTCTCCATTTTTGCTGGTAAGAGGAAACTAGTGCAGTATTACATCAGTGTCTCAGTAGAGGTAGAAAAGACAAAAGAGCAATGACCCTGGTCTCAATCTCCATATTGCTTGATCCCCTATGGCCTAGCCAGTTTGTCAGTCCGCCCCTGGGTACATATAATAATGCCACTTCTTTTGCACTTTCCAGCAGTGACATACATGTTTTTCACATGAATCTGCCCCACATTTTCTTTTTACCTACTATGTTGAAATTTGAAAAAGCCTGTGTTTGGAGCTCAGTATCTCAAACTGACTGTGCCAAAGGTAAAGTTTTTTCATATTCTGTAAAGCAAATTTCTGTGTGATCTTTGTACATATTATCACAGATATGAATCTTCATGAATCATGCTGATAATTTATGTTATTTTGTATTCATTGTGTAGCTGTGCAGGTTTCTGTAAGCAGTTGTAGACAGATGGATGGCCAACTGCATTTATATGCGGGAGCTTAGCTAATGCTGATGGATGGCCTGAATGGTTGCTTCGATGGCAAACTAACACCCCAGCTACTAATGATTCTGGCCCCTGACAGAAGGGAAAAAAACATCAGGGAAGAGTAAATCTATACATACTGGGCTCCACAATGTCTGACTATATTTGGGTGGGTCTCCTAAAATGTTTGTCCTTCTCTTAGATCAGAGCGAATGCATTATGTTTGATCTCTATTATAAATACAAAATATTAGTCAAATTCATGGGTCAGATGAAACGTAACCCTTCTGAAAGCATTTTGCAACTAGGCCACCTCCTTTTTTACATGTATTGAAAACCGTTATGTGACAGCATTTAGTTGAGGAGTACAAGAACCAAACCAGCCAGCTGTGTGTTAGGGACTAGTCTTTTCAACGCCCACTAAATGTTTATGGACAGATGGGTAACCATAACAGTGGGGTACTGGTCGGAGGTCTTAAAAGCTAAAAGAACATATAAGAAAAAAACAGATGATAGATAGATCTCAAAGTCAAAAGCATTATACTTTCCTTTTACTGTTATTTAAAATAAGTTATAATCCTATACCCACAGTTGATCCAGAAGAAGGAAAAAAACCCAGCAAAGCATGATCCTGCAAGAGAAAAAATTCCTTCACTGATCCCCCGAGAGGCAGTCGGATATTCCCTGGATCAACTTTACCTATAAATGATAGTATCCAGTTATATTCTGTGGGAAAGAATCCAGGCCTTTTTTAAAGAAATGAGCTGGCCAGAACAACTCTTGAGGGAGTCTATTCCACATTTTCACAGCTCTTACTGTGAAGAAACCTTTCTGTGTTTGGAGATTACATCTCTTTTCCCCAGACGTAAAGAGTGCCCCCTTGTCCTCTGTGATGACCTCAGGGTGAATAGCTCTACACAGAGTTCACTATATGAACCACTGATTGTATTTATACATGTTGATCATATCCCCCCTTAATCTCCTCTTCTCAAGAGAGAATAAATTCAGTTCCTCTAATCTTTCCTCATAGCTGAGCTCCTCCATGCCTCCTATCAGTTTGGTTGCCCTTCTCTGTACTTTCTCCAGTTCTCCAATGTTCTTTTTATGAATTGGTCTCCAAAACTGAACTGCATATTCCAGATGAGGTCTTACTAATGATTTGCACAGGGATAAAATGATATCTTTCTCTCTGGAGTCTATACCTCTTTTAATACAAGAGAGGATTTTGCTTGCTTTAGAAGCCGCAGCTTGGCATTGCATGGCATTATTAAGTTTGTGATCTACCAGAACTCCCAGATCCTTCTCCACCATTGATTCCCCCAGTTGTACCCCCCTAGTATGTATGATGCATGCATATTCTTAGCCCCCAAGTGCAGAACCTTACATTTATCAACATTAAACCTCATTTGTCACATACTGTAGTTGCCCAATGATATGTGTCAGTCTGAATGAAATTTGGTCTTAAATGGTGAAGAAAAAAATGCTTTAGCTTATCTCCTCTTTTTTTTTCTCTTACTTGTGATGTCTTCCAGGCGACAGTTCTGGTGTGGTATGCAAAATCTACTAGCAGCAGTAGTTTCATATTCACATTTCTAGGCTGCCTGTGGTCATGGTTGATGGGTTTGTGGTTGTAGTTTCAGCTTTACTTTTTTTGGCTACATAAACAAAGTTGGAAACACATTCTAAAGGCTTCATAAAATGCAACACGTTTCCTATGGTTGCATGACCAGCAACCATCTGATTTGTTATCACAACACATTGCTGGTTATGTGTTTATTGTCTATTAAAGTGAACTATGTTTGTGTTCTAAAAGTGTATTCTGGATGCTTTTGCATTCTTTTTGTTGCATTTTGATGCATTACCAATTGCTGAAAAACACATATGCTAAAAACACAGGAAACAACCCAAAACCCATCTGATATAATGTGCCAAACACTTGCAAATGCATCACAAGAAGCTTGCAAAAAACACTTACAGTATTTTTTTACATAAAAGTGAGACGCATACCTGTTGTTATACCTGTGAGCAATTTTCATGTCAAATTTCCATTTTCTGGTCCACCTCATGTCAATGAGTCAGCTCTGTGCCCTGATGCCACAGGACCGTCCACCCTAAGGCTGGCCATACACTATACAATTTTCTTGAGACTTTTGCTTTAGATTTACCAAAAACCATATAATATGAGGTCAAACCTAACAACACTTTCAATTGTATCCAGTTAGGCAGGCCCTTGCACTATATAGTTGAAGGTAAATCTAAAGGAAATTGGGCAGAAATTGGACAGAAAATTGTAAGACATTTGTATAGTGTATGGCCAGCCTTAGGCTGACCATATATTACACAATCTGATTGCACTCCTTTAGACCTACAATCAATTGTGTAGTCCTAATTTGGTACTAACTGGAAAGACTGTTTAGGTTCGTCCTCATATTACATAGCTTTAGTAATTCTAAAATTGTATAGAGATCATACCAGCAGATTGAATAGTGTATAGCCAGCCTTATACTAGTCAATAACAAGTTGCATAATCCAGCCCCTTAGTGCCATTTTTGTAATGTATTGTATTTGTATGTTTTTTTTTTAGAAAAAAATTGTACTGATTAAATGAAAATTGTACGATCTGGTATCGTACAAGAAAAATTTTCTTGCTTGTCCCTTAATTTATTTTGGACAAACTGTACTAACGATTAGCTTATCATATGATTGCTTCGAAAGTTGTATTTTTTGTACGATTTTCTGATCATATGTACTAGGCTTTACCCTGTACTCTTGCAACTCTCCTGACTTATGAATATGTTTTTGCAGCAGCACCATCTTTCCAGTACACACGCATGCAACCAATGTCTTGAGAAAGGTAGAGAGCCTGTCATCTGATTCAAAGGAAGGATTATTTTTAAAGCAGTGCAAACCACCTCTCAATTTTTGTTGGCTAAGGAGGCCAAGGAAACATTCTGTTCTACAGGCATCAATCTCCTAAATCACAAACATTCTAAGCCGAGCAAGCTGACTGACACTTATCATACTAGATTAAGTCCTTAGAGAGAGAGTTGTGCTTCAGAATGCCTGACAGGCATTTTTCATCTGGTAAGTAGACTTTGTTGATCCTGTGTAGCTGTAGCATTACTGTCTGAAATGAAATGCGCTGATTGTTTAAAAGAAGTATCAAGGGACAAACATATAATATCATTGAAGTTAAAGCATATATTATACAGACAATCAATGAAGGTATGTCAGGTTTTAACAAATCTTTCTCAGCAAAACGTACAAGACTGTCTGATCCAGTGATTTTGGAAGATGCTAGGCCTTCCATTTCCAGACAAGATCCGAGTCAATCTTTAAAAGAGGAAGATCCTGAACCATGTATGTTCGACTTTGCTATGGTTGCACTATTTATTACAGTGGTCAAGAAGGCTCTAGTATGGGATGAGGATATGGCCTCTTCAAATAAATCACAAGAGTATTACCCCAGCCTTGAGATACAAGGTCCGTCATTACCTTTAATGGCTGAAATTAAAGAGATCATAGACGACAAATGGAATAAGAGACATCATAGGGTGAACCTACATAACGGATTCTCAAAACTGTATCCTATTGGGTTGGCAAATGCCAAACTTTGGGATTTTGAACCTGCAGTTGATGCCCCACTGCAGTATTTGCCTCATTATGTTACTCAGCATCTGGTTAATTCCATGGCTTTCAAGGGTCCAGTGGCTAAAAGAATCCATGCAATCTGAAGAAATATTATGGTACAGTTGGGTTGGTCTGCTTTCTTTTGGTGGTGCTAACATGAGTGGCAAGAGTCATTATGGTATGGACCAAAACTAAGAAAGAGTGGTAGGATCAGGCGTAGACACGGCTTCTGTCGGTAAAGTCGATGACTCATTCACAGAGAAGAGAGCATTATTGTTGACACATTGGTTGGCAGATTCAGCCTCTAAACATGGATTCTTCATCATTCCTTATTGGAAACATTTTATTAGGTACCAGAATTTTATTTTGACCCTTAGTGAAGCCAATCAGAGAGTAACTGGAGGTAAATCAAGGACAGATTCCACAAGACAAGAAGTCAGCAGCTTTTTCATTGGTACAGAAATTCGAGAATTTACTGACCGTGTTAAGAATACCTTAGGCAGCAGTGAAGAATGTTAATTCTTCAGAAATGTCAGAGAAATCCTTCTGAAAAAGCACCCATCCAGGACCCTGTAGGTGCAAGACTCTATACCACAAGGTTTGGGTGGAAAATATCCCCCAAAAAATGAAGGCTGTCTAGGATAGCATGAGAATATTGGCTGGAATCTGCATCTCATCCTCCAACTGATTGTTTTCTAATGATGACTTTCCCACCTCGCCCAAAAGAGGCTGGAGCTGCAGGCAAATGATCAAGAATTATTAGACTCAGAAGTCCTTATTCCAATCCTTCAGGATCAGCAAGGCACATGATTTTATTCTCTGATTTCTTTGTAAGGAAACCAAATATCAGATTTTATCCAGTCTTCCCCCTAAAAGCACTGACCATCTACATCAAAGCAGTCTTTTGGCATGATTAGGTTGCTTGATGAACCTTTACAAATTCAGCTGATTCCATTCCAGAGAATTGAATCTCTGGATGTTTTGTTTGATTCCTACTTTAATGAAAAATCTCAAGGCATCTGTGGCATAGAGTGATTCAGATGCAGACAATGAATGTGGAGAATTGTATGCTCTTTCATGTCACTGATTTCAGTTGTTGAGTGGACACAATGGCACATGTGTCTTTTCCTGGAGGGCTTTCCCCAGTAATGGCAAGGACTAAACTTGAACTAGTCCATATTAATTTCAACAACAGTAGATAAAGCTATACAGTGGTGGATGTCCCCACTCATTCTAGCTACTGGCTGGCTTCTCAGCTATGGAGACTGTATAGTAGTTAGTTACACATCCAGTCACCAGAGCTAGGGGGACCATTGTCAGTTAAGGCATATTTAGGGTCAATGGCAAAGTCCAGTTCCTCACCTTTCTAATCCCTTCTGTGTCCTTTTTTGTACACTGTTTTGATGCTTTCAGTGGCATCTCACTATCAAGACAGTGATTCCAACAGACGTAACAACAGCAAGTGGAGTTTCAGATTTTCAAGCCTTGCCTTTTAATGAGCCACTATGCACCATCTTTCCAAACAGGGTATTTGCCCATCTTTGCATTTTCTTCCAAAAGTTACATCTTTTCATGGCAGTTGGGAATCCTCATTTCCAATGTCATTTCCATCCTAAGATGAAGGTGAAGATTTCAGCTTTCTAGCCATAGTAAAGGTGATTTCAACTTGGCTATCCTGTCAACACATTTCCTTAAGTAAGACAACCTCTTTGAGTTTCCATTAGGCCCTAGGGAGGGAAAGGCTCCTATGCCAAGGGTGATTTCTTCCTGGATACTGAAGGCCACCCAGACCACATATGTTTCCAGGGTCTTTCTCATCCACCAGAGATCAAAGCTCATTCAGAGTGATATCTTCATCCAGGACTTCCTATGCCAAGATGCCAGCAGAAATGATCAATAATGCTGCCACAAATATGTTTAGTCAGTAATGTTTCAGGGCCTTACCTACCTTCCATCTTTCTGGGAATGGGATATGAGAAAGAGGAACACCTTAAAGCACAAATGGTTTGTTGGATAAACACAAAGGCACATCCCTGCCATGCAGCACCCCCCCCCCCCCCCAATCCCACTCTGACAATTTACCTATATGACATTATTTACTATTTACTAAAGCTGGAGAGTGAAAAATCAGACTCACTTCTGCATAGAAACCAATCAGCTTACAGGTTTTCTTGCCAAAGCTTCATTGAACAAGCTGATGTTAGAAGCTGATCGGTTTCTATGTAGAAGTGAGCCTGATTTTACACTCTCCAACTTAAATAAAACCCTATGTTTTTATAACAAATTGTTGAAATACATCCTAGGAGTGCCGGTTGCATTCTGCTCTTGGTTATGCATGATGCTGGGGTCACTGCAAGCACCCTCCAAGTCATCTTTGGCTGAAGTTGTGCAGCTCTATATAGGATTTATTCCATGGTAAAGTTGTGACCCTCAAAGTGCAGATATCCTTTAAATCTAAGCTGACCTAATGATATAACCCTGTGAAAAAAAACTGTTTTAGGGTGTACATAAGTAACATTTGTAGATATTTGTAGGAAGGATTGTTTGCAATCTGCCAAGTCTCTGATTTATAGCTTAAAACAAACAAGCCCCTTCCCACGTTCTATAGCTCACTGTTGATCATTCAGGCAGTCTGGCTGGCAGTCCTGGTTTACAGAGCTGGCGCAGTGCTTTTAGTGACTGTTTCTTATGTCTGGTGACCATTTCGAAAAAGTATAAAGTAAATTTCACACTTTAATAGGAGAAGGCACATAAAAACAATATGCACAAAAGACACAAAGATCAGAATGGGAAAAAACAGCAAACTGATTTGCAAAAGTATGGTTAGTAGCTTCCAGATACAAAAGACGCATCTAATACAGACTGGTGTACCCTGTTAGAACGGTGCAAATACAATTAAAGTGTTAGTAAACCCAGGACCCTGCATTCACCATATCTGGTCTCCCACAGTACACACAAACATGGAAATGCAATCATTTTAGTAAACATAAACTGCCAAATACCTTTACTCATCAGCACTTAGAGCAGTCTTGTGACTTCTATCAGCGTTCAGCAGAGCACTGGTTAAAGCGTGTAGGAGTTTTATTTCTGTTCTAAGAGAATGCAAAACCACTGGCCTCTGTCTGAACAGCGCTGATTGGCCCTGTGCTGATTACATGCCTTTTTACAAGAAAAAGAGAGCATGTGTAGAATGGCCTTGGATCAGTCTGTCTTATCAGAGGTAAGACGTGGACATTTTGAACAAGAGGAGAAGCAGAGAAGTCAGGATCAAATGGCATTTTTACACAATGCAGAGGATTAACCCCTTAGGTTCCACAGTGAGTATAACAAGCATGCTTTACTGCATATACAGACTGATTGTACTGTTGTGAGTTTAGTAACCTTTAATACCTAAAAGCTATTAAACCCAAAATCAAAAATCCCTTTGTTTTTCCCTGGTCAGTAACAAACCATCAGTATTAAAGTGTCCCCACTCTTGATGAAGGAGCACAGGGGCACAGCGGAAAGCAACATTGATAATTTGGGGGGAGGGTTAGATGTACTAACAGATTTAACCACTTGCCTAC